GTCTGCCCTCGCTCTCTCTTCCTATGCCACATACTTGTTGTGAGGCACACTGGGCCCAACATCCGTGGATGTCTAACCGAGGTGAAAGCAGACTGGCTAATTGTAAACTCACGAGCAGGAGAGAAAAGAAAAGGAGATTATATCAATAAAAGTAACAGTCAAAGGAGGCTGGCATGGACAGAAAGAGAGCTGGACGAGGGAAGACTAACAGAAATGAGTTTGTCTAAAAATGAGCACTTGACGAGAAAGTGTGTTCCTTTTAACCGGAGGAGGTATTTGTCTCTACACTCTTGAATTGTCCTGACCAGAAGGTTTTGTGTTTGTCAGTTTATTCAACCGACCAGTCTAAAACAAGCCACAAGCGCTTTCAATTTTGGCAACCGTTTTCAGTCATAATATTGCCAAACAATGAAGAAATGTGTAAACGTTAATGTTCCCATTTGAACAAATACGACCATGCATGCTCCACGTTCCTTGGGGTGGGTGATATGTCCAATATCTAAAAGGCCCATGCCAATTTCAGAAAAAGGAAGTTCCCCTCACCTTCCAAACATAGATCATAGCTAACTCCATCAATATCTCAATATACATATTATTTACATAAAATGTATTAAATTGGTTATTATTAAAATATATTGGCGGAACCTACCTCCTGCGACTGAGTAGAAAGACTGGCTTTGAGTGATGCCTTTTTCATCTGCATCCTTGTCTCATTCGCAAGAACTTTTAATAGCATGACCACAACCTCTAACTGTCACTGAACCTTCCCTCGAGAGCTTGTCTAAGGCCTGTTGAGTTGACCAACAACACAAGGGATGTTTCAGTCAATTCAACTCCATTGGAGCTCATGGTTAATTTAACACAGTTTTTTTTCATGTATTCTTTGACTGAGCCCTACTTTTTTCATGTACCTCTCAACATTTTGAGGTACATGACCGAGGTTATACCCTGTAGGTGAAACAGTTGCTGCCGGTTTCATTCATTCAATGTTAGAGATTTACTCCACAGCAGATCTAAAGCGAAGAGTCAATAAGATCTGAGGTGTGTGTGTGTTGGGCATCTTAGATTGTTGACATTGACAGCTGTGGGATTTATTGTAGTCAATAGATTTACTGAAAATCTTTGTTAGAGTGCAAGCAACTGTGCAAGCAATGCACAGATCGCACTGACAAGTGTTATGCACCAAGTGAATTGAAGAGCTTCTAGTAGATGGTAGGTGACCATGATAGTCAAAGAAACATTCTTAACTTTTGGGCATAGTCAGTAGCTCAGTCTCTCAGCATTTGGCCTAAAATCTGGATGTCTACTATGTTGAAATTACGAGTGTTTGCTGAGGCGATGCAAGACAAACCCAATCCTTCTTCCATAAAAAGATGAAATTCTGGGAAATTAACGACCTGGGCTATTTTATACCTAAATCTTGTCTGTGTGTGTGTGTGTGTGTGTGTGTGTGTGTGTGTGTGTGTGTGGGGGGGGGGGGGAATTGTCAGTCTGTTGTCACACGTATTCTATACTTAATATTCTTTCCTTTTTAAATTCCATTTTATTTAACCGTTAAAGGAAAAATACACATGCTTGCTCGACAAACCTGCAGATTGTATTCAAAAGCAAAACACAGCTGGCCTTCCTCCTACTTGGTGTTTCACTTTGGTTTTAGGCTTTGATAAAGACTTTTTGTCAAGACATAGAGCTGACCTGCACCTGTCTTGGGCAGTGTTTTGATTTTGGAATCGTGCCCTGCTGTAACGCAGTTAAAAGTTTTTCATTTTTCCCATCCTTTTTTTGTTGCACTTTCTTCTACATTCACTGCTCGTCTGTCTCCATCTTTTTCTTTCCGGAGTCCCAATTGTGAATGAGTCTGCGAGTACCAGTCGTCTTTATGTTTCGGCTACAAGTGCACTATAAAGCTCTCAAGGCACAACCAAAGACCTTGACTGCTTTTTGAAGCAGGCTGTCGCTGTATAATCGCTGAGCTTCTCACAGCGGATGGGGCAACACACACACACACACACACACACACACACACACACACACACACACACACACACACACACGTACGCACGCAGTGTGAGAGGCAGGCAGCCCCTCATTACTGGGCTGAGCCCTGGTCCCCGAGGACTGGACCCAGCACCTAATCCTGTATTTGTTCTTGGGCACTGTATCTGTGATTCGCCATTGAATGGAATATTAAGCACCCAGGTCTTTTGTGGAGCGTGTAAGCCATTTGGCTCCACTCATCTATTATTTATCAGCCTGGCAAATATTTTATCAGCCTTAGCCTCTTATGGCCTACTGTCACATGAACCCCCGTCTCAATCCTCTGACCCCAGAACTTGACTGAAGAAGAAAAGTGTTATAAATTAGATTTCTCAAGTTTATTGGTTGTTGTAAACCTGTGGGACACATGCACAATATTTTCTTGGCGTTGCTGTTGTGAGCTAAGATAAAGCAAGCACTGTTCTATCGCCATCTATTTGGTGATAACAAATGAAATAAATTTCACTGTCTCATCGTCAGTAATCTTCTCTAATTCTCAAGTAAGGCCCCCAAAACAGCCAGCGGGTGTTAGGAGAAGAAGAGTGAGAGACTCCTCTTTTTCCCTTTCAACCTGCAAGTAAATCACGCCAGTTGGGGGGGCTCACCTTGAGGCCTGGTAGACATAATTGGAGTTGCTTAGCGAGGTGTTCTGTGCCATTACCTCCTGGTACCAGTGAATTCTGGGGCTTGTCTCGCACTCCCAGAGGAGGAATAGACTCGCCTGTTGGATCTCCACTTTGTGTGTGTGTGTGTGTGTGTGTGTGTGTGTGCGTGTGTGTGTGTGTGTGTGTGTGTGTGTGTGTGTGTGCGCGCGCCTGGGTGTGGGTGTGGGTGTGGGTGTAAGCCCGCAGTCAGACTGCTGACCTCTCTTTATCACAAATTAAGGGCCCTTTATCATCACTTTGGTTGGGAAAAAAATTATGATTTTGATAGCAGCTCCTCCACCGAGTCTTTCACTTTCCCACATTAATATTCATAGGATTGATTTATTCTGAGAATTAACAAACGAAGCCAAACTGTTTGTGAGGGAATTCATTTTGACAGGAGCGTGGCATTGTTTTGTGTTGTCTGAAGGCGGCTGGTAGAGGAAATATGCATATTCAGATACACAGAGCAAGACACCAATTAATTGTTGATTAAGTCTTAACTATTGTGGGACTGGCTGGGTGAGAGATTGCACCGAAGCAACAAATAGTCTTTTTTTTTCCCCCCCTAGTCGATAGGAAAAATGAACACAGTTAAAACAAACATGCAAGGAGGGCGGCACATCTACACAAAGACGCACGCATGCACGCAGAGCCCCTCAGATGTCCGGGCTTGATGTGCGGTTCCGCTGCGAGAGGTGGAGGAGGAGGTGAGGGTGGGGGGCTGTTTTTCTGGCAGTGGTGGTTTTGGCTCTTGGCCGGTCAATTGTGACACTTTGTGTGTCAGTGAGCAGAGGGTCTCCTGATAGTTGGGTCTGCGTGCGCTTGTGTGCCAGTGTGTGTCCGCTTCACACGTTGACTGTGAAGCTGTAGCATTATAACAGCGTCTGCTGCTCCGGGGTCCCGGTGGTATTGGCCTCGCCCGCAGTCTCTCTTGGCTAACTCATGTTTCATTCTTTGGCAATTTGCCCTAATGAAGTCCCACAGGAGCCCCTCAGACCTCTGTTCTCTTTCCATATTTAATCATGTTATTTTAATCTGGGGGATGAGCTAACGCCCCATTCCCCTGCCGTGCCCGCGTGTGTGTGTTGCAGGTCATTACTTTTAGCTTGGTTTTTAAGAGACACCGTGTCAAGAGAAGGCAAGAGGGTGGGGGGTCGGGGTCCTGGCTCGAAGACAATGGGAGACAATGATTTCAAATATTTTTGTGCGGTCTCGGTTTGACTGCGTCGTCAGCTGAGCCCAGCCTTTGAAAAGCGTCATCTTCGTTTGATTGCACTTCATTATTTGCTTAAAAAAGAGCTTATTTATTCACATTCTTTTTTCTTTTTGTTATCTCAGGCTGAGGTGCTTCGCTTCTTATTTTGATTTTTATGACGAATGGCTGCAGTTGCTGTGGCATTTACGTGTTTGAAAAGCAGTTAATTGTGAACCACATGCCTCATCGTTGCTCATCAAAGAATCCGTATTAGAGCCTCACAAAAAAATGAAACATAATATAAACATTCTAGACTTATATAAACAAATGTAATAATATTGTCAGACAAAAGTTCGAATTTAAGAGGAAATGTCTGCCACTGTCTCACACTGTTGCATTTTCATCTATGTGGAAATGTTGAAATTCACTTGATCAATTAAGATGAACAGAAATACAAGTTTTTTCCTCTCACGATATTATTGGTTTATTCTTGTAACCCATTTCCCTCATAATTTTTTGTTCAATGTGGTAAATGTGCTTGAACACCGGCATATAGATCAGTTTGTTTGTGCTTAGCAATTCTCTTTTTTCTTCAGCGTATACCTTTCTGTACATCTTTTCCCCTCATTTGTCACTGCGTGGCTCTGCCTCAAAACTTCAAGACGGGCTGCTGTCAGCCAGTTGATCTTCTCTTCGTTCCTCCAATAACAACTCGAGGTTACACAGTTCAACTGCAAAGTCTTGCGTGCACAATCTAACAAGATGCAGCACTTGCTTTAATTGACACTATCGGAGAGTTATTAATTTAAACAATACGCGCTAAGGTAAATTTGCCGTGATATACGATTGCACTGCATCCCAATGTGAGTTTCCATACAGCACTTTGGCACTGGATCGATTCTCTTTTAGAGCAATTCTCACAATAATGAACGGAATGATTATCCCTCTGACTTGACAGTTAAAACAGTGGTGTTGTCTTTGCAGTGGCAGATTTGTTCAGCTATTCTGGTTTTCATTGTCCGGTGTATCAAAAAGCAGGGCTTTGGCGGCATTAATATATTTACAGTTCTTATTTGCCGTTGACCTCTTCAATTGTTTCTCCTTTCTCCTTTTTTCTCTAGTTAACCGCGTGTGTCCACGGTGCAGCTGCTTTGCTGTTTCCAATGTACTGGCAGCATATCTTCATCCCTGTCCTGCCCCCGCATCTTCTGGACTACTGCTGGTAAGGCCTGTCACCTCCATACAAACACATGCATGCACATGCACACACGCACACCGAGCAGAATATCGTGTGGGTCACCATGCTTCATTACTCTTGGCTGTGATATCATCTTTATCATCCGGCACCCATCTGAATGGACTGAAACGATGTAACGTCTCGCCCTCTGCGTTTACGCCACATAGAGTTCATCTTCTTTAAAGAAAAAAAATACTGCTTTGTATAGAATCTGCGTGTACTGTGAGGAGCGTGTCTTTAGAAAGTCTTCATCACTGACTGTAAAATGTGATTTTCAACACTCTGGGAAGACTCAGCAGCAGTTAATTCAATCACAGGGGTGTCCTCTGAGCCCTGATTACGAAAGTAAAATTTTATTAGATGAAGAGCATGTACAGTATTGTGTTCCTGGATGTACTGCTGTGTGAATGTGCACATTTGTTGATGGACGATAGTGTCATAACTTAGTAGGTTACACTGCAGAGCTACGAGCCTGCTGTGGGTTGCTGGGTTGTAATTAGGCTGATTATGGGCCTGCAGTCCCCGAATCCTCTTGGGCAGAGATGATCTGACATAACACTATTTAATAAAAGAATGCCTGTATAAGTCTTAAAATGTGTTTCTGTTTGACTGCTGGATTGTATCGCGAACATTACTCACTGATTCAACATGTCCTTTTCAAATCATATTAAATTGTCACATGTACAGTCATTATGCCAGGATTCTGACAAATGACTGAAGTCAGGATTAAGAAACACAGTTGTCATATTAACAATGATCTTTTCATAAATAAGACACTGAAAATAGAGATACTGTCATTACTTAATCGTTGTTGTCAAATTAAAATTAAAAATCTGCAATTCAACCACATTTTTTTTCATCACACTGTTGTTAAAGCTGATGTATATTTTTTCAACTTTGACACAAACATCATGACAAATGCTTTTGCAAATTGTACAGAGTGTGTCTTAAAGAAGCGGTCTCGAGATCACGGCCCACAGGTCATATTTGGCCTACAGGATGATATTTTACAGTCCCCTACTTGACATCAAAGTTGATGGTGGCACCA